GAGCGGGTGTGTGTATGTGTGCGTGTGTGTGTGCGTGTGTGCGTGTGCGTGTGCGTGTGTGTGTGTGCGTGCGTGTGTGTGTGTGTGTGTGAGTGTCTGTTTGTGCGCGCGCACGTGTATGTGAGGGTGTGTGCGTACGTGCATGCGAGATAGCGAGCGAGCGTACGCTTGCGTTCGTGTGTGTGTGGCGGAGCAGCAAGAATTTCCTCATTTCCTCCTTCGTCATTAGTTAGTAATGACTGCATGCTTTAAGATGTTTAAAATGTTTTTTGTTTTTCTAGATCAAGCTGCATCTAATCGTTTTATCTGATCGATCAGATTTAGATTGATCATCCACACTTTTGTAACGTTTTTATTTGCGCTTGCCGATATATAATATATGATGCAAACTTCGTTTATTCTTTTCGCCTCTTCTCCCTAATATATATATATATATGCTAGTTGGAATGTAACGCATAGCAATATATGTGACTGCTGTCCTAAATTTGATGGAGTGACCTATACATTTGAGTCAAAAACGTGTAGCATTTCTGAAAAGTTCCGGCCAGTGGGTTACTAGTTCATACCATGCCACTGCACTGTCAGCAGCTGCTACCATGCGTTCTGGTTGTTCACAGCAAACAGCTACGTAGCTGTAAATGTCTGCCTAGCATTCACTGCTATCTGCTATCTATATGCACTGACTGTGTAGCTATGAAGCCCTGTCTAGCATTTACTGCTATCTATATGTACTGGCTGTGTAGCTATGAAGCCCTGTCTAGCATTCACTGCTATCTATATGTACTGGCTGTGTAGCTATGAAGCCCTGTCTAGCATTCACTGTTAATTTATTATCTATATGTACTGGCTGTGTAGCTATGAAGCGCTGTCTAGCATTCACTGCTATTCTATATGCTACTGGCTTGTAGCTATGAACGAGCTCTGTCTTAGCATTCCACTGCTATTCTATAGTACTGGCTTCGAAGCCATTATGGAAGCCCTGTCTACGATTCACTGCTACTTCTATGTCACGACTGTGCTGCCGTAGCCTATGAAGCCCTGTCTAGCACATTCATGCTATCTATATTGTTATGGCTCGTGCAGCCTATGAATAGCCCCGTCTACGCATGTTCACTGCCTATCTATATGTACTTGGCTGTGTAGCTATGAAGGCCCTGTCTCAGCCTTCACTGTTTAATTTATTTATCCTATACTGTACCTGGCTGTGTAGCTATGCAAGCGCTGTCTAGCATTCCACTGCCTATCTAATTATGTAACTGCGCTGTGTTAACTATGAAGCCGCCTGTCTAGCATTTCACTGGCTATCTATATAGTACTGGCTGTGTAGCCTATGAGCCTCCTGTCTAGCCCATTCCACTTGCATATCTATCATGTACTGGCGTTGTAGCTATGAAGCCCCATGTCGTAGCATTCACTTGCTATTCTATAGTGTACTGACTGTGTAGCTATGAAGCCCTGTCTAAGCATTCACTAGTTAATTTATTATCTATATGTACTGGCCTGTTGCTAGCTATGAAGCCCGTGCTTCTAGCACTTCGACTGCGCTATCTATCCAGTGTAACTGACTGTGGTAGCCTATTGAGCGGCCGTCTGGTCTAGCATTCACTGTTAATTTACATCTAGTTCTATATGTACTCGCCTGTGTAGCTATTGAAGCGCTGTCTAGCATTCACTGCTATCTATAGGTACTGGCGCTGTGTAGCGTACTGAGCAGCCGCTGTCTAGCATTCACTGCTATCTATATGTACTGGGCGTTGTAAGCTATGAAAGCCCTGCTCTAGCATTCACTGCTATCTATATGTAGCTGCCTGTTGTAGCCTACTGAGCCCTGCTAGCATTGGCACTGCACTATCTATACTGGTACCTGCCGTGATGAGCTATGAAGCCCTGGTCTAGCATTCACTGCCATATTACTATGTTACTGGCTGTGTAGCTTATGAAGCGCTGCTCTAGCATTCACTGCTAATCTATATGTACTGACTGTGTAGCTATGAACCCTGTCTAGACTTCCACTGCTATCTATTGGTACTGGCTGTGTTATGCTATAAGCCCTGTCTAGCATTCACTGCCTATATCTATAGCTACTGGCTGTGAAGCCTATGATAGCCCTTCTAGCATTCACATGCTATCTATATGTACTGGCGCTGTGTTTAGCTATGAAGCGCTGCTGCTAGCATTCACTGCTATCTATTATGTACTGGCCTGTGTAGCTGATGAAGCCCTGTCTAGCATTCACTACTATCTATGACTTTACTGGCTGGTAGCCTATGACAGCGTTCTAGCATTTACTGCTATCATATGTACTGGCTGTGTAGCCTATGAAGCCCGTCTCTAGCATTCCACTGCTAATTCTATATGTTCACTGGCTGTGTAGCCTATTGAAGCGCTGTCTAGCATCCACTGCGTATCTATATGGTACTGACTGCCTGTGGCTATTGAAGCCCTAGTTAGCATTTAGCTGCTATCTATATGTACTGATCTGTGCTAGCTTTGAAGCGCTGGCTCTACGCAGCATGCACTGCTATCTATATGTACTGGCTGTGTAGCTATGAAGCGCTGTCTAGCATTCACTGCTATCTATATGCACTGACTGTGCAGCTGTAAACCGGTGTGTAGCCTTTACCCCTATCTATACACGGTGGCTGTGCAGCTATGAAGCCCTGCCTAGCATTTACATTTAAGTATACACGCTGGCTGTGTAGCTCTGAACCTGTCTAGCATATCACATCTATTCTACTACATGCTGGTTTTGTAGCTGTGTACTTTTGCCTGGCCTTCACCCCTATCTATACACGCTGGCAGTGTTGGTGTAAACTGTGTCTAGCCTTCACCTCTGTCTATACACGCTGGCAGTGTAGCTACACGCTGGTTGTGTAGCTAGCTATGAGCTGGCTGTGTAGCTGTGAAACCTCTGCAGGCTGTATATAGCCTTCAGCTCCCTCAGTAACGAGTGTAAGAGTAATGGAGACACCTCGTGCCTTCTTGGACCCATAATCGCTACATTAGATTCGTGCTGCTGTGGTCTCTCTCTCTCTCTCTCTCTCTCTCTCTACTCCTCTCTCTCCTCTCTCTGCTCTACTCTCTCTCTCTTCTGTCTCTCTCTTCTCTCTCTCTCTCTTCTCTCTTCTCTTCTCTCTCTGCTCTCTCTCTCTCTCTTCTTCTCTCTCTCTCTCTCTCTCTCCCTAAATCTTCTCTCTCTCTCTCTCTCTCTCTCTCTCTCTCTCTCTCTCTCTCTCTCTCTCTCTCTCTCGTTGTCTCTCTTCCTCTGCTTCTTCCTCTCACTCTCCCTCCCTCTTCCTCTTCCTCTCTCCCTTTGTCTCTGTATCTGTCTCTTTCTGTGTGTCTTTATCTCTCCCTCTCTCTACCATCTCTCTCCGTCTTTCTTACTCCCACCGTGCCCACACTAATTAGGACGAGGAAGTGCGCACGCCAACAAGTATTTCTGCTTCCTTGTCTTAAAATACACAACGCTGACGTCAGCAGCTGACACGCGAGTGTCGGTTCGCGACCGAAACGCGAGAGAGATCATCACGAGCAAGGTCAATGGGAGAGTGTTAAGGAGGGGCAGAGGAATGGGGAAAATATCGGTGGAATCAAGGAGGGCCGGGGATGACAAGGTTTCATTCAACTAGGGGAGCGGTATTAGGGGGTGGGGTTCGTTTAAATTGGGAAGGGGGTGGGGAAGTTTCGTTTGAGCAGGGAGGGAACTGGGTAAAGTATTATTGGAACGTGGGTGAAGTATTATTGGAACGTGGGTGGGGTTGGGGAGATTTTGCTCGAGTGGGAGGGGGAAGAGGAAGATAGGTGAAGTTTTGTTTGAAATGGAGGGTTTGTTTTGATCGAAATGAGAGTAAAAAATTCGTTTGCAGCGATAAGGGAAGCCGTACCTGCATATTAGCATTTCGTTGCGAATAGTAAAGACATCGCTACGTACGCACTATACAAGTGCACAGCCAATGGAGAGCACCACCCATAACCTTTGTTCCGTGTCTCCGAGACCGAACCAATTCGAACTGGATGCTGTTCAGATGTTGTCTTGCTGTACATCACTATGCGTGGAACATCCGTTAATTGCAACTAATTATTCACTTTTAACACTAATTAACCTAATTAATCACTCTGGAATTGTGTGTATATAGTGGGAGTCAATAGCATGTAACGTTGCGCTAATGCACCCTAAAATTGGGCTCAAATATCGTCAGCTTCTGAGTAATGTATTTGAGAATTGTTTGGAGGTTTTTTCGGAATTACTTAGAATTCTGTTTTTAATTTTGTTGCAGTGGTTTTTCAATTATTCACTTTCCCGTCACTTTGCACACGCACCAGACTAATATATAGTCGTTCTCGCAGTGAGCTTGTGAGCGTAAATCCGTCCACACCGGTTGTTGAATGAAATTTGGCTTTCACGGAGGCTGTCTTATGTGCTGCCATTACATGAAGTGAAGGTGCAAGGGCTTTCACGTGCAGACATCTAGGTCTCTCTCAGGCTGCCTGAAACATCATATATATACGATTATGACTACCACAGGTCTAAAATGTCATAGCTTTTGCACTTCACCACAAAAGTTTTGTCTTTTTATACGTACGTATCTTGTCATAACCATTGATGATGTTTCTGATATTGGGCCCTGGTGCCTACAGCTATTTTAAAGCTTGTCCGTTTGTGCAAACAGTGCATATATACAATACCTGCAATTGACTAGGTGGCAGAATTTATTATTAGTCGCATACAATTTCAATCTGATGGTAGCGTATTACTCGATTGTAACTCTGCCAGCAAGTGCAGTGAAATCACAACTGTTGTTTGTTTAGTCATTGTACTAAGAGCAGGTAAACAACCATTCGTGCTCATTACAATAATTATAGTTATCATAATATATAGCATGGTTTAGGTACTCTTGATCATATCGTGAGCTGCGCGCTGGGCGAGCGTCGGCGGTAGAGATCGCTCTGTGCGTTCACTGAAGCTTGTGGTGAAGCCAGCATTGGTTTCGTTGCAGGCCCGAAATCAAGTTCATGCAGTTGATTCGCGAGGATGCGTCGCTTGACGAACCGAAACGACTGCTCAAGCGTGATAACTCCAGCTTTGAGGAGCCGCGCGGGGTAGGTTGTGAGTTTCTCTTGACGAAGAGCACTCTCTCTCTCTCTCTTTCTTTCTGACTCCCCTTCTCCCTTGTCTGCCTCGCCTCTCTATCTGCATTTCTTTATCTCTGTTTGCTACTGTCTCTATATATCATTCTCGTTCTCCTTCACTGGCTCCCCCTCTCGTTTTCATTCTCACCTTCCCTATCCTCATCTCCCCCTCTCCATCTCCCTCCCTCCCTTCCTGTCTCCCCTCTCTACTAGGCGTGCATGAGTGGTAATTGTGTCACATATCTGGCAGATGAGCACGCCTCAGCGGCAATCATCGACGGAAAGCATGCGACGCACAAAGTCCTTTGAAGAGCGTGAAGAGGCATACGAGAAGACAAAGGCGCGCATCTACAATCACCAGGACGTGAGTCTCTCTAATGCATGCACGCCACGGGGGGGGGGGAGTGAGGGGTGCTGTTACATGGCGAACGGTAAGGGAAGTGTGTGGGGGAGGGACTTCTTAGGAGGCGTATGAGAAGAAAAACGCATGCAGTTGCAGTTAGCAAGACGTGAGTCTCTATCTCACCCATGCGTGCAGAGGGAGTGCGTGGGGTGGGGGAGTCATTTTAAACAGCGCGGAGAGGCATACGAGAAGACAAAGTCACGCATCTACAGTGACAAGGACGTGAGTCTCGGTTCTTTCATGCATACGCAGGGTAGGGAGTTAGGAATGGGGGCACAGGGGCATGGCTGCAGGGACTAGGAGGTGTGTGTTGGGGGTGGGGCACATGGATGGTTATGCAGAGATGAAGATCTTGCAATGTGCACATACATAAATAAAACTAATAGACTGGTACTCTGTCTCTACATTTTCTAATAGACAGCTATATATAGAGGTATACGTTTTATTTATTTATCTATAAGGCAAATATAAAGGTTATCTCTAATCTTGAAATATCAATACAAAGTAGACAATTTTTCAGACAAGTATTTCAGTCTTCAGAAATTATAAGGAACACATTACGTAATTATAGGCATATAAAATACACCAGCAAAAAAAGTAAAACAAAACATTTTCTATGGTTTGAACTCGGCTATTGCAAACACGGCTATGCTTGCCTAAATGACAGAAAAAAATCACGAAGCACTCAGATATTAATGCCTCGTGAAAGTCTTTTGTGGATGATCTAATGGGTCACATAAATCCTGAATGACGAGGTGCCTGGGAGATGAGAATGCCACACGTAAAGCCACGTCATGTTTTTGGCTACTGTACCCGTATCATTTGTGAAAAAAATAACATAATTCTTTACCAGCGTTCAATGCCATTTTCGGGTAGACGGGTCAGGCGTTTGCAAGGATTATCGTATGATCTCGCGTGAATTGCATGATCGTACGTCTAGCCTGCGAGCTGAGACGTACAGTAACTGAACTCATAGCACTAGAACATGGCTTCGGCTGACTTCAGCTGTAACATGGAAAAAATCTCGAAGGGTCTTGAGGTGGATTGCTGAGTACTGTATCCTTAACATTATACTAAATTCTCTGCCATGCATAATATGTTGCAGGATTAAAATAATATAAAGTAAGTTTAAAAAGCCAATCATTGGAATATATTTCCATTATAATTTTAAATAAATTGTTTGTTTTTGTAAATAAATAAAATATTGTGTAATAATGTTTATTTTCTACATTCCACAGAGCCTTTCTTCGCAAGATGGTCACCCAGAAAGCTCAACAAGGTAAGCCCAACATTTTAATACCTACGTCTATTCTCCATCACATCAGTCTGTGTCGCAAACCTAACAATGACTACAAGCTCGCAATGTGCATGCAGCATTAATGGCATTCTGCTGGACGGCAGTAATGCAGCGGTGGTTACTACGGCAACGACCTGTATGCCTATTAGTATATAGCCTGTATATTTCATTCTCTGCTAGCGAAAGGCATCGCGTGATCAGTTGCTGACAATGCACGCTTCTGAGGCATGCCAGTCGTTGCCACGGTTACCGACAAACATCGTCGCACACAATGACTAGTTGAGAGGCATCCTCTAATTTCATTCTTAGTATTGCCGACTAGTCTGTCCAACTCGGTGTCTCATCTGTTCTCTCTACTGCCTGACACTGCAGCTTGTCCGACAGCTGAGTTAACAGCAAGTGTGGGAAGATAGCAGTAAAATTAGTAGGGTATGTTAGCCGTAGGTTCCCTATTCCAGAAGCAGGTACATAGTGTTGGCCCTTGCCAGTGTGCAGTGATGTCCACATGTTAATCGGGTGGTGTGAGAGTGAGAAGTGTGTCTTGGAGGAGCGACTACACTGGACTCACGCTCAGCAGCATGGATATAATTACTTGCTAATTTATTTTTTATAAATATAATAAATATAGTTACTACTATAATATTACTGCAGTTACTTGACTGTAATACTGTAGTTACTGTAATAAAATTGGCATAGTTATATTTATTTTATATTATAATAGTATTAAATTATTGCAGGAGTGGATTCACTAGGTCAACATAACAGTGTCAGCTTAATTTTCTGGTATCATGACAGAACCCAATCATATGACATTTATTTATGCTGGAGACAGGCATGTAATTACTTCACAATTTGCTTAATCAGGCAACATTTGTTCTTCTCGGTGGCGCCCCCTGCAGGAGCGGCTACACGGGCTCGACACGCAGCAGCGTGGATGTAATTGGTTAACCGTACGACGTTTGTTCTTCTCGGTGGCGCCCCCTGCAGGAGCTGCTACACGGGCTCGACACGCAGCAGCGTGGAGAACCTCCGCTGGGCGCAGGAGCCGCGTCCATGGAGCAGCACCGACTCGGAGCCGAGCATGTGCCGTGGCCAGCAGCTGAAGCCAGCCGTGACGAAGGCGAGCAGCTTCGGCGGCGTCTCCATCCTGACGCGCGGCGACAGCAGCTGCAGCGACCGCAGTGCCTATATGAGGGGAGGTAGGTGGAGGCATGAGTGTCTACGTTAGGGGAGGTAGGTGGAGGGATGAGTACCTACGTTAGGGGAGGATGCCTCCACCTACCTCCCCTCACGTAGGTACCTCTGCTCTTG